GATCAACGAACAGCCGGTGCCCATCGATGGCGACGAGGGTGTAGGCGCTGAGGAACGATACTTTTGGTCGCCATATATCTGATACCCCGGCCTATGGATATATAGTGTAACCCCAATATTGTGAGCTGTCTATACGCTAAAGACAACAGAATATTCTGTATAAGAGTCTATATTATAGAATATTCTGTTAATAGCTGTGTGTATTATGGCTAAGAGATGTTCACAGTATCGAGAGTTCACTGTATTTTATCGCATTAATAGTGTACTTGTATTTATAGTATAAGTTGTTGTGTTATATATTATTATAATTATTATGTTTACCGATAACTATATTTTATTAATACTAATCAATCGCTTATCGAAACTCATGTCCAAAAAAATTTATTTATTTATTTAAAAACAAAACCGCGATTTTTGTATTTCATTTCATTATGGATAATAAAAATGCTTATAATTTATTGAATTTATAAATTTTATCCCTGCTAAACAGTGGTATAATTTTATTAATATCTGGCAAGTCACCATTACTAGGTTACTAGGTGTTATTTTAAATAAGTAATATTTTTATTTAGTAAATAATAAATAGCCAATATTTTTAAATATCAATCATATTTTATTCATAGAAAATCGTGTGCATAGATACAATTATTACAATAATTCACTTTACAGTTAATAATTTATTAAAATACAATTTTAAAAATATTAAATTTATTAAAAATATTTCAATAAAACATTTTAGATGTTCAGTCAATAGCCACACATTTCCACGGATCCCTATATTAACACAAAAATAATTTTAAAAATATAATACAGTACAAATTAAAAATCAACAAAATAATGAATGAATGAATACCATACCATGTTTAGGCACCGGTATGTCCCCTATTTGCAGCACTCGCACTGGCAGTCCGAGCCCTTACAGCCGCAGTTATCACAACCGCCGCAAGTCTTGGTCTCCACAATAGTCTTCATATTTAGGGGCAATTTGTTTGCGTTTTTCACAACTCTTTTCAATACAAGAATTTTTTTATCTCAAAAACAGTTGTTTTGAATGAATATTCTGGAGGAATGACACCTCCTTTTAAACCCTTTCCATTGCGGGCTGAGTGCAAAAAATAGCGGGTGGTGTGCAAAATAGCTAGGTATCGGGTGCAAAAATATAAGGGACGTGTGCATAAACTACTGGTGCTTTTACTATGGAAACAGTTGATAATAGTTTTTGTTTGTTTATTATTTAAATAATAAAAATATGCTGATATATGTTATGTAATAGGGTTTCCAAGGGGTTATGTACCTGGATAGAAATTTATATCAAGGAGATTTACAAATATTTTTGCAAATCTTATTAAAATACATAAAATTTTGAATTAAGAATGCCAAGCACCTAATATAATTTATAATTTTAAAAGTGATCTAGCTATAATAAAATAATTTTCATTTTTAAATTCCCCTAAATACCCTGGTGATAATTAATTTATCAAAACATAATAATATATAACATTACTTGATAAGATTATAGCCAACTCACACGCGAATGTTCTGGTATATTCCCTGATCACTTATCATAAAAAACATAATAACCTTGATTAGATAATTATGCACACGTCTCTTATATTTTTGCACCCGTTACCTAGCTATTTTGCACACCACCCGCTATTTGTTGCACTCAGCCCGCAATGGAAAGGGTTTAAAAGAAGGTGTCATTCCTCCAGAATATTCATTCAAAACAACTGTTTTTGAGATAAAAAATTCTTGTATTGAAAAGAGTTGTGAAAAACACAAACAAATTGTCGGTAAATATGAAGACTATTGTGGAGACCAAGACTTGCGGCGGTTGTGATAACTGCGGCTGTAAGGGCTCGGACTGCCAGTGCGAGTGTTGCAAATAGGGGACATACCGGTGCCCTAATCATGGTATGTATTTATTAATTACTTATAAGATATAGTTGATTTGTAATTTGTATTATATTTAAAGCTATGTTTGTGTTAATATAGGGATTCATAGAAGTCGTGTGAGAGACACCTAAATATTATAAATTATTTTAATGTAATTAAATAGTGATTATTATTTAAATAAATATATATTTTCAATTATTATGAAATAAAAACATACGACTTGTACGAATTAAAATTGTTTGCTATTTATTTACAATTTTTGTAGAAAATTAATATTAAGTTTTAATACTATTATATAAAACTTAGATTTTGATGATTTTGATGATTTAAATGAAATAAAAAATACATATCCTAATAAAGTTTATTTAAATTAATTCATATTATATGATTAACTTCAATTATTTTAGATAAATATAAATTTTTCTAATGTACTTATAATTGAATTTTAACATATTGTAAGTTAAACAAACCTAAACCATGGTACTATTTAAAAATGTACCCTAAACTCTATAAAGTAATAACATAACAATTCAATGAAAGTTACAACAAGCAAATTTAAAACAATATTAATTTCAAAACTCAAGCGCCTTATAACATTCAAAAGTTATTATTGGATAACAAAAATTAATTAACATTTAATTACTACACAAAACAAAATTAGTCGACATTTTGTGTTTATGCCGTAAGTATTAAACCTAAAAATGATCACCATACATAATAAATAACCAACTATTGTAACCACTTACCTAGACTACCAAGGGGCAACTACTAAACTAAACCATGTTAACAACCACGCGAATACTGGGCACACTAGTCGCCCTAACCCTATACCTGCCCGCGCCCACCGGGGCCCTACGCAAACAGTCCTACCTGGACCTAGTGCTCGCCGACATATCGCC